TATGATTGCTAAATGGATTTTCATTATTACGTATTGGTGTTAGGTTATTAATTAGCCAGGATCAGATGTAGCGCAAAAATAAAAAAAAAGAATACAGGAAAGTAAACAATTAAAAATAATTTGTAACTCGAACTTTTATCTATGAAACTACATTCTACATATGTACTAATAAAAAATATACGTACCAATTTTTATTGAATCTATTATGCCGAAATATTAACTTACCCGGATCGGTCGAAAAATCATTCGGCTAATTTTTTACAAGTGTCCCAGGAATTATGAAAACTGCTGTAATAAAATAGACTATACACTATTAACAATCGGAAATTTTCCGCTATATAGTTTTCTTTATTTTTCTTGTAAACCCCTCTCTCATGTTAAGTAATATTTGCTTGATTTATAGTAATACGAATTCGCAATAATCACAAATTTTATCACCAAATCATTATTTACATCAGCCAATAAGACGAATGTTAGCATTAGCATTAGATCTATAAATTTCATCGTTAATTAAATGATTTAATTTCGTTTCACTCATGTTTGCTTCGAAAGTCATTTTACGAAATTTGATACCGCTAAGGACAGGTAGGCGATATAAATCCTTATTTATTACAGTTGCTTTCCTGTAAAAAGAAAGGAAATCAGGATAAATGCTAGGGAGTAAAATAACAACTTTTTACTATTATCGCTCTCTCCGAATTAGTATAATAAACTGAATACTACATTGTGTTCTGCACGTTAATAATCATATTATTGCTGCCTGATTATCAAATTCTGTAATGTTTATTGATAATATAACGGACTATAATGTAGCATTCAGTACCCATCAAGACTCAAAATTTATAAAATTCGATTATCGCACTAATTCGAAAAAAGCGATAATCGAAAGTTCCGATCTTTCAAACACAACCTTGTATTTTTAGATATATCGGTCCGAAATCTGTCGACTGAAGGCAGAACTACCATCACTCCAGATTCATCGCCTGCAAGTGCTGTCAAAAAATCAACTCCTGGTGATTTTGCTCTTGCCCAACCCGCCAATACTGCTGGTATTTGTTTATATTACTATATATCAATTTTTTATTACGGATATTCCTTATATGATAACATATTTTTTTCTTAGAATACGTGTTGTCAACTGTAGATAAAGTAGTGAATTATGCTCGCCAAGGCTCTATTTGGCCAATGGTATTTATCTGAAGTAAAGTCTCAGAGACTAATAATATTGTATCATAAATTGACCTTTTTTTTTTTTTGTACATTAGAATTTCGGTTTAGCCTGTTGTGCCGGTAAATCCTTGCTTCATTTATTTCGTATCTTTAATAAATTTATTTAAATACGTCACTTAAGTTTTATTTACGAATCTTGTAGTCGAAATGATGCACATGGCAGCAGCAAGATATGATCAGGACCGTCTTGGAATTGTATTCCGAGCTTCTCCACGTCAATCGGACGTCATGATAGTCGCTGGCACTTTAACTAATAAGATGGCTCCCGCATTGAGGAAGGTGTATGATCAGGCAAGTATTTTCTTGAACATTCTTTATGGTTTATTGGAAAAAATATATATTTAGACATATCGTATATTATTACACCTTTACCTGAATAGATGCCCGAACCTCGTTGGGTTATTTCTATGGGTTCATGTGCGAATGGTGGTGGATATTACCATTATTCTTATAGTGTTGTTAGAGGGTAAACGTTGAATTTTTAAATGGTTTTTCTTTATTCGAACTGCTCATTATATATAATTCGTTCATCCAGTTGCGACAGAATTGTACCAGTTGATATTTACGTTCCAGGATGTCCACCAACGGCAGAGGCATTGTTATATGGTGTACTTCAATTACAGAAAAAGATGAGAAGATCAAGGGTATGCCACTGTGACATCGATGAGTAAAATTCTAATATTAATTCTGTTATTAAATTAATCTTTTTACTTTGCAGACTACTCAATTATGGTACAGAAAGTAACACAATTAGGGTTTTGGCCCAATCCTTTGTTTTTTTTTTTTTTTTATTGAACTGACATTACTATGTAGTATGTATTTTTGAGAATTGGGATTTCTACTTAATTAGGGTTCATAATTAAACCAAATATACCCCATTTGCGATCAATAGTGTTAAAATCAAAAACCAATCAAATTTGTTAAATTAATGTTAATAAATACAATATATGCTCATTTAATATGCTAAGAACAGATTTTATAAAGAGAAATCAAGATAAGGTTGAACAGATACTAATATTTTATAATATAAAAGACAAATTATTATTAGATTGACTTTTTAAATTCTATATAATATAGGATTTTGATAGTAATAAGTCTTAAATAACGATTTTTGTCTTCACTGATTAAATTAGCTCGGGTGAAATGAAATGATCGATCAAAATGCCATTTTTTTTTATATGCAATATATTTGCTGAGATCAAATTCAGCAACCCAAAATTTAGGCAATACTAACCATCTGGGTAGGGTTGTTAAAACTTATCTGACAACATAATTTACATATGGGTAATTATTTTTGAACTCGGACCAATTTATATATGACGTGATAACATTTTGGTCTGAATTCAAAAATAATTAC